TGTGTGTGTGTGTGTGTGTGTGTGTGTGTGTGTGTGTGTGTGTGTGTGTGTGTGTGTGTGTGTGTGTGTGTGTGTGTGTGTGTGTGTGTGTGTGTGTGTGTGTGTGTGTGTGTGTGTGTGCGTGTGAGAGAGAGCGTGAGAGAGAGCGTGAGAGCGTGAGAGCGGAAAAGTGGAAAAGTGTGCATGAATGTAGCAGGAAGTAAATACCTGATTACTTTCCTCTAAGAGTGTTTATTTTTATTTTTTAAATGTAATAAGCAATTGATATTGATGTCGTCTGGTTTAAAATCTCTGTTATGGCCACTGCAGCACATCATTGCTGTATTATGTATAATTAAGTAAGGGAAATGGTGTTTGTGTAAGTGCACAGAATATATCAAGATGCAGCAACAAACAGCAAATGAAGGAGGATTATGAAGCTTCCAGCTGATTCTCTGAAGAGCTTTCATCATAGCAGTGAAGTAATGTCACAACGGTGATAAAATGAGCTTCCTTTCATTCCTCTTCCTCTCCCAGCTCACCACTTTGTCTGTCACTCATCCGGAGCTGTTATTCTGCCGCTCTCTGGAGGTAATAGGTTTGAGAGACATGATTGAAGAAAAAGGGAGGGAAAGAAATCACCTTTTCTGTCGGGTCCCAGGAGCGGAACACAAGAGCGACAGTTTGACTCCTTATGGCTAAAACTGGCTCCATTTCCATCCCGAAGTCTAAGAGTACAGATTTATAAAAAGTCCCCTTTTATTTAGCACCTTATATTTTTAGATATTAATTCAGCTGCTTACTCTTGTCATAGTTCCGTCGCCCAAAAAAGACGTTGGAACTTCCTGTAAAAATACAAAAGAAAACTTCATTTCCCAAAGGTGCAAAACGAGCTTGAGCTCTTTCTTTATGGTGGAGAACAATTTTATTTCAAATTTGGAGGCAGAAAGAAAAACATTATGGTTTCATTCTTTTATTGCTGCTGTAGGCTATATGGTTTGGGAAGACTCCAGCAACATTTCCCAAAAGCCCTAGTATGTCCCGAAGTGAAACATATTGTTACCCAGGTATGTTTTTCTATCGTAAGCATGACAGCAGGGTTATTTTTATAACTATTGACATTTGAATTCCAATGTTATCTAAAACAGCATACTGTTAGCTTGTTTGGAGTCTCTCTTGTTCTAACAAGTCAGTTGGAGAACTAAAAACATGGAGTTGGTGTTAATTTGCCAGCCAGCCATAAAGTGAGGCTATAAAATGTGTCAGTAACAGTAGACAAGTCACCTGTTGAAAGTGAACATCATTTAAATCCACTTCTTTCTGAAGTCCAGTACCCATTGTTAAAGACTACTCTGACTTTTCAGGAAGTCTCCCGCTGTTATCTTTGTAAAATGCATTATGGGGGTCAATTCACAAACTGTAATACTTACTTCCCAGCTGCCAGTTTGTGTGTGTGTGTTTGTATTGGCGTGTGTTTTAATGCATTTAGCCAATGTGTTTGTGCTTTGTGAACATGATGCAGAGGGTGAAACTCACTGACCTACCTTGTGCATCGATCGGGTTAGTGCTGGGCTTTATAGGAGCTGCAACATTACAGTGGTGTGTGTGTGTGTCATGAATCAACATGGGACCCAACTTGGCCTGATTAAGGCCTTTGCAGTCTGTGAACAAGCACACACACACACACACACTTACAACCACACACACACACTCTCACAGACTCACACACTTCAATGTAGCATGATAGAGGCCTTGTCAGCATAAAGCTGTCGTGCTGTGCTCACAAATGCGATTTACCTCATAGCCTCTACAGCAGCTGACATGATTTCTTCCACACTCTTCATGGTTTTTCCTTCAAGCAATTTTCCCACCAACGGCTGAACTGAAGGAGATTTGGGTCGAGGGGCCCCGTCTCTCCTGCGTCATGATGAACATGAGGCCAGTTGGTCTCCTGCTTCAACAGATTGACAGCTTAGTGCTGAGCCGTAATGTAGGTCTGCCAACCTCGTCTGTTAGCTCTCTTTGGATCTCTGTCACTCCGCTCGTCCGCACTCACAATGAGCTAAGAATGCGCCCTATTCAGACAACATCGTGAAAATGTGTCGGACGGACATCCACATTGATGTCCACTGAAGCATTTTAGAGACTTCTGGCTCTTTTCTCCTCAAGACACAGCTGTGCCTGTGAAAGTGAAGAGGGGGGGGCGATTTAGAGGGGGGCGATTTAGAGGGAGGCGTTCAAGACATCTGATGTCTCGTCCTCAACAAAAGGAGGTGCTGGTTAGTATGCGGCTGGTGTCATTGCATAGCCAATGCACTGTATGTTGTAAATCCCCTCTGGTAAAACGTTGAAAGGCGCTTGTCTATAGAACACACAGCAATGTATGTTGTAAAGCAGCCATAGAGATGTCCATAGGCTGAACTCTGTATTCTGTTGCTGTGGATAGTGGCTTCTGGGCCCCTGCCAGTCCCAGGTTTTTCCATTTCAACTCTCTCTAATGCTCTCTGCTCACAATGCTGGGCAAACTCCCCGGTGTCATGACCCTCTCCAAGCCTTTAGAAATCTCTTGTCACCCACCCAGCTAGCTCCACCGATGGTCCGGGCCTTCTACATGCAAAGAGTCCAACGGCTCGACCCCAATCTGTCACAGCCCATCACAGGGTCCTGACCCACCTTCAGGATGGGTTGCCTCAAAGTGTGTGGCACAGCAGCGTCTCACCCACACCAGAACCCCCCCCCCCCCCTTTTTCCAACAGTCCAGACTTGGTTGCCAACGATTACAAATCCTTCAACAAATTGTTGTTAATGGCAGTTTAGTTCGGCAGGTGTCACAGAGTGCTTTACTTATCTGGGAGGAATGTTTCTATTTGTCTCACACACTCCAGTTGTATACGGTTGAAGGTTTTACTGCGCTTTCACATGGTCAGAGAAGAGAGAGACCATTATTCCTGTCATTTATAAAGGGTTGAACTGGTGTTGCATAATCTTCTTTTTCAGCATCAGGCATGCTGACGGGTTGAGCTGCTGTTACCTTGGTGAATGCTAAAAGGTCTTCTGATTTCCTGGATAAATAATTCACTTAGATCACTGAGATTGAGACAGTCCAAACTTGTTGGACACTTCATTTGGTCCATTGCAACTCACTGTTGATTTTGCCAATATAGCCAGGGACATTTTTTCATTTCATTTAATCGTTTATTTGAACCGGGACAGTGCACATTAATGAACATTTTAAACAAAATAATGCTTTTAAATGTGAATGAGCCGGATTTTTAGCTTTGAGCTAGTTTCCATCCGTAGTCCCGTCACATACAACATTTATGAACATAACATTTATATACATGGCAAACAGAGATACATGATATGCAGAAAGAGCATGAGCAGCATACAAGCCACAAGGCAGTACAATGTAGCAGCAACGACATATAAAGTGCAGGAAATATAAGGAACCAATCAGTTTTAAATGAATAAATTAGAGTTATTTGGATGCCTAACTCCCCTTAAGATTAGAGTTTAAAGTAAAGCTTGTTTTCCTTCAGCATACTCTCGTCGTCTTCTTCATTTCATACCAGTGCAGGGCTATAAAACTCTCGGGCGTCTTTCCATCCAGCTGAGAAGCTTCAGGCCCCGAGCCAAATCCTCTGGCAAAGTCAGCAGCTCATTTCTGAGGCGGTAGGATTTCCTCAATATGTTGTGCTATAGTATTGTACCAGAAGTGCCTTCTCACTGCAGCGGTGCCAAAACTGAATCCAGTCTTTTACTTTTGGAGTGGTTGTCATACGAGTCAATCATGTTTTGTTCTAAGACTCTGTGTGTGGTCTAACATCAAATCAGACTTCACAATGTCTGATAGCCAGTTAATAAGACCGGACCGTGCTGGATGGCAGCTGGAGCTCAAATGGAAATGGCTGTGTGAACAAAAGCCTCTGCTGAATGAAAAGCATTGAATACAAACCAGTGCCTCTAAGTGCCCTCACAGATGCAGTGTTGTTTATTTCTTATTACATTATAACACTAGCAAATAAAATGGATACAAGACATTATCCGCCCCTTTGTGGATGCTACTAAATCACTTCATTTGCCTGAGATAGAGATCCTGTGATCAAGGCCATGTCCTTGTACTTTATTTTATGAAAATGGCCACAGTGCAGTTACTCACAAAAGGAGATTAATCTAATAAATCATGATTACATTGGTTTATCCAAAAACATTGTGTAGGTCAGCAGTTGTTTTTGTGTCGGTAAGATTTCATGCTGCTTTGATACCTGTAGATGCCAGCTACTCCTCATCATGTGTTCCTCTAAGAGCGACATTTAGAGTGTGTGTGTGTGTGTGTGTGTGTGTGTGTGTGTGTGTGTGTGTGTGTGTGTGTGTGTTTAATTGGTGTAATTCATTTTGAAGAGGTTTTTGTAAACAAGAAACAGCTGTGCAAGCTTCTCTTTGTCTGTCACCTGTCATTGAAACATTCTCCATTTATATCGCACTTTTATATTTTGCTTCTCATTTAATGATTCGCACAAACCCACATGACAAACACCCAGATACTGGACCTGACTGTAGGTTTGATGAATTATAGACCAACATATTTAGTTATTTTTTATTTCATGTTCTTTTGCACGAAATTACAACCTATGCATGTTACAAAGTTCAATTTGTGAAGCAATTCATTTGTACTTCCTGTTTGTATGCAACAAACCTATTTAAGGTTGACCTCAAAGACAAAGCATGGTAATGATGAAGGTGGCAACACTGGACACCAATGAATGAACATATGAAATGCTTTATTATGATGACATGCATACATTTTGGAAGATGGAGACACTTTTATCTCAAATATTTGATATGTCGCTAAACAGAAAAAGATGAACACCATGAACTTTATTGTCTGGAAGTGTCTTGGAAGTCTTTGTTTTACACTCAGATATCTATATTTCAACCTCTGTTCACTGGCATTTCTGTGTTCCTTCATCATCCAGCTTCACTTCTCTCCTCTCTGTTTCCTCTCCTCTGTCCCTCTGCAGGTCCAGGATGGCTCTGAATCTGTGTGCAGCTGGGCGGCCCATCCTCTTTGCGCTAATGCTGTCGGTCTTTTTAGGAGAAGGTAAGTTATCTGTCTCCTACCGCCACTCATTGTTTCCATAAACTGCTGCATCTCCAGGAACTGCAGGAAATTAAGGAAAAATAGTAACAGGTGATGTCGGCACATAAGTGGGTTTTGTAAAAAAGAGATAGGGAAGAGAAGCAGCTGGAGCAGATTACAGAAAACATCAGCTCCCACATCCCATAGACATGAATACAGAAGACAGGTCTGCACTCATTTGATTGTTGAAAGAGAGAGCTGATATGCTGGGGGTATTTGCAGACATGCTCGGTGGGACTGAATTGGAACAAATCCAAACCCATTTCTGCAAGTTTCGTAGACCATCTGTTCCTTACAACTATGCATAAAATTCACAATTATGGAACAAAAAGATAAAACATCTCAGAGCCGCAGGTCTCTGGTGGGAACTATCGCAGGTTTGAGGTCCCACGTGCAGCCAGCTGACTGCCTGTGGTAAAGATAAGTTTCTCCTTATTACTTTTCCTGCTATTGTTATGCATGATGGGAGCTGGTCAGCCTGGGTTTTCATTAAGTGGATAAACTGCATACTCATTTCCAAAATTAAAACATTACTTTGCTTGACATTATGTTTTGACAGCGGAAAGTTACTGCTCCACATTCAATGGTGTGGATGTTGACTGCGAAACAGTACAGACTAGTAGACTGCATCATTGTGTTTCATGTTGTTTTAACACGAGTAAAAGTATATATATTATGAATCGTGACCGTTTTGAGTCAGTAATGTTCAAGTTCATCACAAAGTTGCCCTCAAGCAGTCAACAATGTCCCACGATATACTGAACTAGGACATCTGGATAACATCATTCACTCTAAGAGTTTTAATGATGGACAGCTGGCAAACAGGGTACCAGGTTAATGGTAAATACTGAACATCAATCATCTCTGCACCGTTCTGTTAATCACAGCATGTTCAGCCTGCTAACAAGAACACGTGGAGTTTAAAGCTGTTTGTTCCTGATTCAAATGTGTTTCGACTTTGGCTACCTTAGTTATGAAAAAGCTTGTTTTAAAGGTTGAAATGTGGAAGGTACTCCTAAAGTTATGGTATATTTACTCACCTTTTATAGAGCTGTAAACATAATTACAAGTGTGTACAACTATTGCACTTAAGAAATAAATATTATTTACAACAACAATTTAAACAACTAAGCAAACTGCCATGAAAAATTGTGAGATGCAATTAAAATCTTCCTGAAAAACCAAGTAGTTCAACCTTATTCATCTTATCAATGGTCAATTTCCTCTGTCAAAACCAATCATTCACACTCAGCATTTTAAATACATCCCACTGTATGATTTGTTGCCTTTATTTCCTTATTATATGTTTTATGCAACATTATTTTTGGCATGAAAGGATCAAACTCAGCACAGTCCCTTCAGTTTAATAAACATTGATATCGGCCTTGAAAGCCTCCTTGCAGGTTACAGCGTATGGACTCTGAAAGAGGCCTGACAGGAACAAGAGACGGCATCTGTTAATGATAGAGAGTGTCCTTTCATGTCACTAACAGCTCTCTCTTTGTCCCATCTGTCACCACCACCATGCTACAGGGCACACTTGTCATCCAAAGTCTCTCTTTTTCCTCCATCTTCATCTCCGGGTTGCTCTCTCTCCTCTCTCTGTGTTGTTCTGGCTCTCGTGCTCGTCCCTGGTATTTGTGATTCTGTGATTACATCTGATTTTGGGGGAAGGCAGCAGAGGCTCAGCACAGCGAGAAGCTCTCAGGGGGTTCAGCTTGTGAAAGCCGTCCAATCTAAATGCAGATGGAAATATCTTAAGGGGATTCATTTCCTCCATGTGCAAAGTGCCATACAAGGCTTTGTTTTTTCCTTACTCCTCCTTACGCTCATATTAGTTGCTACACATTGGTGCATTTGGCTAATGGTGACAATTTGAATGAAGAGGACAAGAAAAGAAAAGCCACAATCCTTAAGCAAATGTGCTTTAAGCTCATTAAAGCTTTGTCATTTTGTCGTCTGCCTTGTTGTTTTTCTGTTGCCTAGGAGGACTAATGTGCCTCACAGTCCATGTTACTCCTTGGATTTGTTAGCAAAAACGGCTCATTATTATTATTTGTATATAGTCAGATTAATTATATTTAAACCTAAATAAAAAAATTAAAAAAACAATAAACAAATTGAACTCAAAGTCCTCCTAATGTCTTTACAGATTTCATCCACATCTCACAATCTTCATTAGCAAGGACAGGGCTCAGTTGTCATGGTGATAGCTCAGTCAGCATTATGTCAATGTGCAATGAAAAAAGGAAATTAACTTTTATGATCAAAATAAGTATTGACTTTTTATGAAAACACAATTTTATTATTATTATGATTATTATGATTTTACCAACATGTCATAGCAACCAGCAGAGAGCAGAGGCCTGTACTACGAAGCCGGTTCAACATAACCTGGATATGTTTGAGTTACCCGGTTTACCCAATCCAAAACAAACGCGCTCTCGCTAAACTGTCCTACGACGCTGGTTATCAACTCGTTAACTCAAGCCAGCCGTGTCCTATCTAGTTAGGTGCGCGTTCACATGAAAGGGGTGGTATTTGGAGCATTCGACCAATCACAAACATGGACAAGCGTACTGACAGCGCAGCGTCATACTTCCTGAATGAAAAGTCAACTATAATTAGACAAATATGAAGAAGTTAAACTTTAAACATCCATGACTTAAACACTTTATCCAGGATAAAAGCCACATAGCTGCACCTGCAAGGTGAATACAGCTGGTAAAAGAAAAAGTGTTTGAATGCGTACATTAACAGGTTTATGAAATCACTGCCCCGTCCAAGACACGAGTGGATCTGACTTTAATTACATTTGACTCGAGTGTTTCGTCAACTTAATGTGTTGCTTAAAATAATACTTCTGCATACAGTATGTGACACTGTGAGTGTTGCACGGCCAGATACGGCTCAAGAAGCTGACTCAGATAAGGAAATATATGATACATTATGATGTGATATGATATGAATGATAATGGAACACATCGCCGTCTGCACTCACAGTGCCGCGGACTGTACTTAATGTTACTCTGATCCGGTTACTTATGTCGTGGCAGATATTTAAGTAAGCTTTCTTAACGCTAATGTTATAATAGTCAGATTGCTCTGAAGATGGGAGGGGATATTCTATTAATTTTCACGTTCACACAGTCAGTTGATTTTTGCCGGCCGTCTTTCCTGCAACGGCAGTTTTTCTGTATTTCCTCTATCCTGTAATATGACTTGATCGCTTTAAACTCTGCACACGGAGCTCTGATTGGTCAGCAGGCGGTGCTTTCACTGAGTTGATCTCTTATCCTGGAACCTAAGCTGCTCCGGACCAGGCTAGCCGTTCAGCATAAGTTACCATGGAGATCTAGCCCGCTAAGAAGTGAACCAGCGTCGTAGGACCAGAAACCCAGAGTTTTCCCTGAAGTTAGCTTGCTACCTGTACGGCTTCGTCGTACAGGCCTCTGATATCAATCTGCAGACCGGTGAACCTGTCTCTCACAGTGACAGTGGCTCAAGTTAGGCCTATCTTCACATGAAATAAGTGTAAATCAAATGGTTTGACTGACAGTTTGAATCATTTATGAAAACTTAGGTTAGACATAAAAATAAATAATTAAAGAGGACGATGTTTTGCTCATTACCAGGTTCATAATTGTATTTAGTGCCTCTACTGTGACCTGTTTACATGCTTTAATGTTCAAAAAGTGCTCTATTTTTCTCATACTGCCTGTGCTGCAGCACCTCTTTTCACCCTCTGTCTGAGACCAGAGCCCAGTCTGCTCTGATTGGTTAGCTGGCTGGCTCTGTCGTGATTGGTCAGCCCCTTAGAGATGTCCGGCCCCTTAGCCTATACATACAACGTGTTGGAGCGCTAGCCAATAGAAGCACGAGTGTCACTATGTTATAGAAGTAAACAAAAGAGTCCAGGAGGCGTTTCAGGCAGGGGGGCAGAGTGTGTGGGAAACTCCTTCTAGAGGGAACTTTGGGGATTTTAGCCTTTGCAGACCATTTACATATACAATAACCTATATGACACATCAGGGAAGGGAAACCCCAGAAAAGCATAATCAGGCCTCTTTAAGTTGGAGCCTGTGAGCCGCTGTGATTACTTATGTGTGATTTTTTACACACATGTTCTACTCTTGTCTGTGTATACATGTATATAATTATGTGTGGGATTCTTATAATGGGTCAGTGTTATGTTTCTTGGCTGGTACAATAGAAGCAGTTCCTCGTGTGGAAACATGAGTGTGAACTTGCTAATGAATCCCTGAGGTCTTGTTACTGTAGCAGACTTAGAGGTTACAGCACAGCTCATATATGCATATACATCTGAGTGAAGAATACTGTGAGACATTTCCTCTTTAATCAAACACCAGCCTTGTTCATGTCTGTCAGACAGTAGACGCATGCAATTAAACGTCCATTATGTTCTTCCCTTGTAAGCAAAGTGACCCCCAACACATTTAATTAGATCATCTAATTGTCTCTGGTGTCTTGTTCGTCCTCTAGGTGCAGCCTCCTCCATAGTTAACATGCGTAGGATCACACATCCTACAGTCCAACAAACGCTGGCAGGCAAAGCCGTCCTCCCCTGTGTCTTCACCCTCCAGACCAGCCCCTCCCCCCAGCCCCCCCACGTCCTGTGGACCCGCATCAGAGGACCAGCCGAGGGACAGGGGGCTCCTCATGAGCAGACTGTGCTTTCTGCTAAAGGTAAAAGTAGGACACGATGATCTGGGTCAGCTGTTGATTGAGACCTACATTACTTTACTCAGTCAGATAACATCTCAAGTGCTTAGAGAGTAAACCTGAAAGGTGCGCTAATCGATGTTTTTATATTAAAAGTGGATCAAACTATGTGTGTGTGTTAACACAATCGTCTCCACTGATCTGCAGCTCTCCTCAGCTGGAAGAATGTAATGAATAAATTCAAACCTCATGAGTTAAATAACAAGCTTACAATAGTAGCTCCTGGTATTAAAAGGACATAAATCCTAATAGTAACTTGTAAATGCTTAAAAAAACCCTTGAGTGAAATTATTTAAGCAAAGTCAAAGCATGGCACCGATGGGATTTACCCCCCTTTAAAGTGTTGGTGCCTTTTACTAATTTGTTTCAGGTCCCGAAACTATCCTGGTTGCCCATTCACCAGGTTTTTAAATGCAGCATGCAGTGAAAATAATCAAAAGTAACAGGTGGACGTAGGAGTTAGGCTGCAGATCATTACTTTGAACTAAACATCTCAAATTAAATAAAAATACTGATTATATTTGAACGTCTCTGAAAAGATTACATTTAAATTTCCTTTTCTATTTTTATAATGTGAAATGTTAAAGACTAAACAAGCAACAATTTATTCTAAAGTTAGAAATGAAACCATTATTTAACTCTTAAAACCCGAGAACATTTGCTTTGTCAGTATTGTGTTGATTTAATTGAATCACGTTGAATTAGTAAATGAATCCTGAATGGTCTGCAGAAGACTGAGAGTCACGTTGTTAGCTGATCCCCGTCCACTACCCAGTGGGAAAAGTAAAGACACAAAACACAAATACAAAGGTATTTCGTGGGAAATAACCTAAACTGTGTTTGGCAGAAAAGTGTGTGTTGACATAGGACCGAGCCATTGAGAAGACATGTTAATATGTATCTTAGACCCTTTATAAGTTTATGTTTTATCTCTAAAAATCTGCAAGATGCCAATGGACACTCATACTGAAGAACCCTGTCTCTCTGTGCCAAAGGTGATGTAATAAAGGTGAATAAGGCTTTCAGTGGCCGCGTCATGCTGCCAGGATACGCTGCCAATGCTCTGAATGCTACCATGGAGATCTCCAGTCTCCGCACCAACGACTCAGGCACTTACCACTGTCAGGTTGTCATGGGCAACGACTATGAGAGAGACACTGTGCCCCTGGTGGTATCCGGTAAGTGCAGCAACCACTGACGGGAGACTTTACTGTGAGAAAAGTTTAGTGCCTAACGGACATACTGTATTAAAGAATACAAAACTTCTAACGGACCAAGCAGCATCCACACACAAATACTTTACAATTCTTAATTGATTTTTCTCATTTATTGCAATCCAGGCTTGTTGTGATAGTGTAAAATAGATAATGGCAGCTGGAAAACAAGAGCACTGCCAACCCTTTTCAGTGTTTGTATTTAATTAAACATTAATAACATTGATTCACTATATCAGTATCGTAATGACTGACTTCATTAATGCAGCATACTGCTCCGTGTGTTTGTGGTGTTCCTGCTATCTAGTTTTCCACTTGAGCAATTGTGTAATTATTTTAATTAAAGAGTTTGGAGTGAATACCCATGATAATTGTTCGGTGTGCCCATCTGTGAAATGTAAGCTTAAAGTCACCCACTTTTAGATTGATCTGTTTGGGGCCAGAATGACTTGTTTGTTGATTACATCCCACTGATTTATTCCCATTAAACCCGGCTGTATGTCTCAGATAAACACCTCCCCACCTGTCCCTGTGTCTCCTCGTGTAGGCGTGGTGTTTCACTATCAGGCTCCCAGCTCCAGATACGCCCTCTCGTTCACCGACGCCCAGCGGGCCTGCCAGGAGAACTCGGCTCAGATGGCCACACCTGCCCAGCTGTGGGCGGCGTACTATGACGGCTTCGCCAGCTGTTCGGCGGGATGGTTGGATGATCAGACTGTCCGGTGAGGAGGCGTTCAATAACTTCCTGTTGATCCTCACATACTTAGTGTTGCTCACTAGTTGCATTGTGTGAAGCAATTTTATTAATTATTAGTAAATCTGCTGATCATTTTCTCAATATCTTCATCAGTCCAGGCTTTTTTATGTTTAAATGGATCGTTTTACTTGACCCCCAGTCCTAACCCCAATTATAAATGATTTGCAGTCATAGAAAAACAAGAAAGCATATTCATATTCACCGTTTTGAAGACTGAAATTGGACTGGATTATTAGGCATTTTTGCTTAAAGGAATAATTCAACTTGTGGGGAAATGTATAAAACCATTTGTGTCTGGGACTACATTTAGGCACTGGATCTGATTGGTCAAGTAAAACCTTACGATTGTTTTGTGTACAGTTCGTTTCCACTTGTATCTTACTATCTGCAGTCTTAATTAGTATTCAGTTTTCTAATTTCATCTGCTTCAGATTCATGTTTTTCCTTTTACCAACATTGTTCCGTTGCTGCTAATTATATTTTAATGTATTTTAATGTATTTTACTCTCTTGCCCTTTAAAAGAGATTGCAAATAAGAATGTTTTTCTAACTGACATTTAGAGTCTTAATGAAGATATACACTTTGATATGTGAGCTAAGACGTTGTTGGTACCGAGTTAAAAAGACTGTATGATTAGTAAAACGAGGTTCATTCACAGTTTTGACTCCCACATGTTCGTCTCCACAGCTATTCTGTCCAGCTGCCAGAGCTTGGTTGCTATGGACACAAGGAGTACTCTGCTGGAGTGAGGAATTATGGGAAGAGGGACCCGAAAGAGCTTTTTGATGTTTACTGTTTTGCAAAAGAACTGGATGGTACAAACACAAACACAAACACACACACACACACACACACACACACACACACACACACACACACACACACACACACACACACACACACACACACACACACACACACACACCACACACACACACACACACACACACACACACACACACACACACACACACCGCTCTTTTAGAGGAACACATGATAAGGAGTAGCTGGCATCTACAGGTATCAAAGCAGCATGAAATCTTACCGACACAAAAACAACTGCTGACCTACACAATGTTTTTGGATAAACCAATGTAATCATGATTTATTAGATTCATCTCCTTTTGTGAGTAACTGCACTGTGGCCATTTTCATAAAATAAAGTACAAGGACATGGCCTTGATCACAGGATCTCTATCTCAGGCAAATGAAGTGATTTAGTAGCATCCACAAAGGGGCGGATAATGTCTTGTATCCATTTTATTTGCTAGTGTTATAATGTAATAAGAAATAAACAATACTGCATCTGTGAGGGCACTTAGAGGCACTGGTTTGTATTCAATGCTTTTCATTCAGCAGAGGCTTTTGTTCACACAGCCATTTCCATTTGAGCTCCAGCTGCCATCCAGCACGGTCCGGTCTTATTAACTGGCTATCAGACATTGTGAAGACATCGCTGGGGTTAGTGCAGGGCTTTATAGGAGCTGCAACATTACAGTGGTGTGTGTGTGTGTCATGAATCAACATGGGACCCAATTTGGCCTGATTAAGGCCTCTGCAGTCTGTGAACAAGCACACACACTTACAACCACACACACACACACACACACACACACACACACACACACACACACACACACACACACACACACACACACACACACACACACACACACACACCACACACACACACACACACACACACACACACACACACACACACACACACACACACACACACACACACACACACACAAAAACGGTCACAGCTTTTGGCTTTTACACTGATGGTTGCATTTTGCTACAATATTACATGGCAATATTCTGTTTTTTCTATATATTTTTTAAATAATAATTAAATAAATCTAGTGAAACAACCAAAAAATATTTTTTAAACTTAATAAACATAAATAGTAAAACTAAACCTCTGTGCATTTTTATTTTAAAGGTCCCATGTCATGCTTTTCCGGTTATTACCCGTCCCCTTGTGTGTTATGAAGGTTTTTATGCATGTAAACGGTCTGCAAAATCACAAACCCTCAAAGTACACCCTGTAGCGAGTAAAACTCTAACACAGAAAAGACCTGTCTATGCTGCCCCAGAACGCCTCGTTGGAGATTTCTCTTTTTCTTCCTGGGTACAGTGACGTGGTCCAAATGGACCAATCCGTGGAGCCGTTACGTTACGTCCGCGGAGCCGTTACGTTAAGTCCGTGGATTGGTCCAAATGGGCCAATCCGCGGACTTCCTCACACACACACACTCAATCTTTTCTCAGCTGCAGCTCCGCCAATTTCTCCTCCCTGAGACGGCGGGACGCGGCGAGGCTGTGAGTCGGTATGTGAGCACACACACAAACTCCCAGCCAGGCTGCGGGTGTGTGTGTGTGTTCGGGCTGGGTTTCGCTGTGTCTCGCTGTCTCGCAGACGGCCAATGGGCTCATAGGGAGGGGGGGGCAGGAGCTCCAACAAGCCGTTTAGGACAGAGAGTGAATACACATACTATACAGACATGCTGTATGAGAAACCAATGCGATTTTGGAAAATTGCACAATATAAATCTATTTTAGTATACCTCAACAATGGAATTATGATCAGTAGAAATGGCCATGACATGGGACCTTTAAAGATTTACATCTTCAATAGCAACCAATGGGCTTTGGGATGTTTGCCTCATACAGGCTAGGGAAAAACATTATTGGTTTTGGCCTTTCCATGGGATTTGTTGAGAAAAAGTAGAATACAATAGCCTAAGCTTTTAAGTAATTCAATAGATTTCGAAGCCTGTGCAGAACCCAGGTGTTTCACTGCAAGTTCCCTTGTCTCCGTCTTCCAGGTGAAGTGTTCCACTCCTCGGTCCCAGGCAGGCTGTCCCTGTCCTCCGCCTCAGACCGCTGTGTGTCCCTGGGGGGACAGCTGGCCACCGTGGGGCAGCTCTATCTGGCGTGGAGGGCCGGCTTGGACAGCTGCGCCCCGGGCTGGCTGTCTGACGGCAGCGTGCGCTACCCTGTGACCTGGCGTCGCCCGGACTGTGGGGGGGGCCAGCTGGGGGTCCGCACCATCACACCCAACAGCACAACTGACAACACCACAGCGCTGTATGATGCTTACTGCTACAGAGGTAATGAATCAGACACTGAATCTGCACCTGCATAATATTCTTAATCATGGAAAAGGAGTTTAATTCAATCGTTACTGATGGATTTGAAAAGTTAGTAGCTGGCCAAAAGCAAATCTGTGGAAGAGTGCTGTTAATGTAGTTATTGTTCAATTACAATACATGTCACTGCCACTGGTGTAGCTATGGCAACAATGATTTTGGATCCACATTATCCATCCCACTGTCAAGTCTGTGAAGCTGCTGGATTGACAGCAGCAGTGGGAGAGCGAGAAACAAGAACAGGATGTGTTGAAGTTAAATATTTTCAGATGTGCGGTTTCTGTCTTGACTGCAAAATTAATACACAGCAAAGCTTTGAGACAAGCTGGTTCAAATCCTTCAGTGACAGCCATGTGAACAAGAAATCTCTTAAACTTGTTTCCCAGGTAAAATGAAGGATTCGGGCTCCATCTCTCAGATCTACACCTCCCTGTGGAAGCCCTGGAGCTACCTCAGAGACTCCAGTGATGCTGACTCTGCAGGGACCGGCAGCCCGGACGTGACTACACAGCAAACCACCACTGCCAGAGGTTTCACATCTGTCTAAAATATCAGTAGTAGCATAATGAAGCTGATTATTTACAGGATCAAACGTCAAATCAGTAAACATAAATACAGTAAGATTGATTTTTTTGCAAATGCATCCTTGCTGTGTCCTCAGATGGCAGCAGCGCTTCACCTTCAAACTGGACTGGATTGGTCGACCTTGAAGACGAGGCCTCGCTTCACAGCACTGATGCCTGTGGGGCTGATTTCTAATATAATAATTCATTATTTGTATTGATCACTTATACAGTTGGATCTGTTGTAACACCTCTTTCTGTTGTTTCTTCAGCCTCAGACCCCTGGTCTGCAGAGTCTTCAGGGTCCTTTGTAACGCTCCAGCTGATCCCAGGACAGATCCTCTCAGACTGGGGAGAGCCACTGGAGCCCGGACCCGACTCAGACCAGTTCCTCCGACCACCAGTCCACCCTACTGTGGCTGACAAGAAGGTTGGTTTGAGCTAAAGCTGCAATTATTACGATCAATCAATCGACAGGAAAATAATCACTAACTATTTTGATTACTGATTCATCCTTTAAGTACATTTAAGAAAAATGCTGTTTTCATGCTCTCAAAGTACGAAGATTACGTTCTTTTCTCAGTTTTATATCATATTTTTCTAAATATTTTTGGACATACAAAGACATTTTAAATCATCACATTGGACTTTAGTAATGTTTCATTTCTATTCCCAATTCATCGATTAGTCTAGAAAATAATCAGCAGATGAAGCGGTGATAAAAGTAATTCTTAGTTTTAGCCCTAGTCAAAGATTTTAACCTCCCCCGGGGGGCGGGGGCTCCCGCAACATCTTGCAAGAAACAGCATCTGAGGGCTTCTTAACATTTAACAAACTATGAATGTGTCCTACCCACTTAACGGGAAGAAACTCAGCTACCTGTCGATATTAACAATTTTTACCGAAACAAAACACAAGTCTAACGCCGAGCCTCTGAATTAGCACTAAGCGAAAGAGCGCTAACGCACTAGCACATAACTCACGGTAGAAATATTGTATACTTCATCGGATCTGCACAAACTAGATATCGTTTGAAAGCTGAGATTCCACGGATTACAATGGTATAAGTATCATCACTCAATGCCCAAAACTCACGGCAGTGAAAGCCAGCAAGGACAACACACAACTTCACTTTACCTAGCCAAAACGGCAAATACTTCTTACCTTTGCTGTTTTCTGATCAAAAGTTGTGTTCAAGGGCATTAAAACACATATAAACGCTGCTGAAGGTTAATCCAATGTGTCTGTGTCACTTTGAAATGATTACTGATAATTCATCATAACATTTATGTCAATAACCGGAGTTTTCATAGCTGCTATGAGAGCTACGAGAGTGTATGAGAGCTTCCGGTTTTAAACCTCTAAAAAGGTCAAATCTCACTTGTTTTGCATCAATCTTGATACAGGGTACTTATTATATGTTATAGTTTGGATTCCTAAAGCTTTTAGTCTACTATCCCATCATTCAAGGGTGGTTTTCACTATAAGTAATGGGGGTTTTTGGGACAGAAACTATAATTTACATTTTTTGACTATGTTCAATCTGAATTTACTTTAAAAATGAAAACATCTATATTGATTCTGACTCTTCTACATCCAATTCACAGGTGTATCATTGCTTTGAGAAAAAAGATTATTAATATACCCCTTTTAGAAGTGAAGATATAGTCATTTGTTCTGGGCATGTCATTTTCGAGCCTGAAACCTGAAAAACAGGCTCAGGGCTTAAGCAGCATCACTGAGCCAGCTAAGTTTCTGTGCATCTACGTTATTTCAGGTGATCTCAAAGATCGTGAAGTCCATCTGGAAGCCTTGGAACTACCTGGCCGGGAGTGAAGATGAGGAAGGAACCCAAGCACCGAGCAAACAGACACAGGAAGAGGAGACAGCCCCGAAAAAGACAGAAGAGGAGTCAAAACCATCCAAACGTGAGTGGATTATGTTATATATATATATATACTTGTAATTGTATTGCAATTATTGCATTACAGTGAGGATTTTTGGGGTTTAGGATATCTTAAATGTCCAAAGGATAAAAGTGATTTTTTACAAGTATATGCTGTATGCGTATTCTACTTGCAAGTCAGAAGAGAATGTCAGATACAAAGCTAATAACCAAGGAAGAGCTTCAAAAAAATAGGAAATGTGTACACTTGAGTTATAAACCAGGAAGATTTGAAGTCAGTGAATGTTCATGAGCAGTATTCTGAACATATTGCTGTGGAGGCACTAATTGATTCAGGTCTGTGATGTGATCAGCTGGGCAACACAATATGATGATACAATAATTAAAGTACAAAGAAGCCTCATGAATGGAGTTAACTATAGAAACAAATAACTCATAAGGGGTAGAGTATAGAGGCCTTGTGGTGAGGAGAGCAGAGTTTGCTTCAACTTCTCCTGAAAGGACTTTAAGACTCTCTGCAGCTCAGGATGTGTAGAGCCGCTAACGAGCTGTGATTGACTCCAGGTGTGGCAGCTGACGAGCTCCAGCTGTGGTTTCACTCGCAAACATTTTTTTTGACTGTTTCTGTGACCTGTATTTAAATAATTACTTGACTTAAATTATATAGAGGCTCAAATGAAATCGTGTTTTTATTCTTTATGGCATTATGGAAGAATATGCCAACCTGTATGCCGTCTATACTGAACAAACTGAACTGTGACTTTATTTAAATGTATTATGGAAACAGATTTCACATAATTGTATAAGGTGGTTGAAAGCAATAGTATTACGTTTAAATAAAATATATGAGGTGCAACTTAATATTATTGCTTTCAACTAACCTAATACAGTTTTGTAAGATTTGTTTATATGATATATTTAATTAAAGTCAACATTTCAGTTTTTCAGTGTACTGAGCAGCAACAAATCTAGCGAACAGTACAGTTCGCTAGATTTGTACAGTAGCACACAAAAATGTATTAAATTATATTTGGGTTATACGTTTTTGTAGCATCATATAAATATGCTGTGTTTAATTTAAAAATGATCATATACTATTTGGGTTGCACATGATGAGAACATTTGGATAGGCCAACTAAGTAGATCATGTGTACGTAACATGCTGTGGGCCTATAGCATGTACGTCACTGTGTTTGTTGTGGAGTAGGCCACAACATTGTGTTTATAGCTGTCTTCAGAGGCCTAAGGCTATTCAGTATTACAGTATGTGGATTCACACTGTGTGGTTTATTGTTAGAGCTCAGTTACGATAACGTTTCTTTAGTAAATTGAACTGAAAACCAGGGCATCCATCTCACAGCCTCTGTAGCTGAAGAAGATAATCGATTTGATATCTCGTTTCAGTGTAACTGTAACTATAACAGTGAGAAACACAAACACTGCAGGCATTGACAAACTTTGTAGAGAGTAATGCCTTTATTGGCAGTTTAAAACCTTATTCCCTTATGATTATGTTATATATGTTAGGCCTAAATAGCCAAAGACCTTGTCTTGTTCTGCTTCCCATGAAGTTCAGCCTTCAGCTCTTAATTCGAGGCTCACAGAAAGAGACACTGATCATAAGGATGTGAATCTACAGACAAAAGTCCTCTAAAGCCCCTTCAACAAATACTGTTAAATCCTTGCACCGTGAATTGAATGATCAAGTTTCCTTCCAACAGGCAGAATTTAAGAAGTGAAATCCATCCCATCAGCCTGTACTCTTTCCTGTGTCTAAGTGGTTCAGCAGCTCTTCAGGGGGGTATACTACGAATCTAGTTCAACATATCCTGGATATGTTTTGAGTTATCCGGTTGACTTAATCCAAAACAAACCCGCTCTCGCTAAACTGTCCTACGACGCTGGTTATCAACTCGATCGCTCAAGCCAGCCGTGTCCTATCTAGTTAGGTGCACGTTCACATAAAATGGGTGGTATCTGGAGCATTCGACCAATCACAAACATGGAGAAGCGTTCTGACAGCGCAGCGTCATACTTCCTGAATGAAAAGTCAACTATAATATTAGTCAAATATGAAGAAGTTAAAGAAACCGGCTCGAGATACACTTTTTGTTATATTCCATGGAATGCTCTTAACATCCCGATAGCAATGAATATCTTAAGTGCTTTGACAAAAAATCCATAAAATAATTTCATCTGTGGAAGCCGTAGTACTGTAAAAAGCACGACCAATCATTTTAGCCGGCCCGGCTAAAATAACTGGATGGCCTACCTGCCTGTCAGCCTTCCATCTGTGCACAAACTTATCTCGTGCCCTCATTGGTCATGTGCGCGTTCGTGTGTGTTTGAGGAGGGGCTCTATAAGGAAGTGGCAGATTTTCTCCGGTTGTGTATTTTCAAATTCTAACGATCTCGAGCCGGTTTCTCAAATTTACCTACCCTACCTTTAAACTTTAAACATCCATGACTTAAACACTTTATCCAGGATAAAAGCCACATAGCTGCACCTGCAAGGTGAATACAGCTGGTAAAAGAAAAAGTGTTTGAATGCGTACATTAACAGGTTTATGATATGCCCAGTCTAAGACACGAGTGGATCTGACTTTAATTACATTTGACTCAAGTGTTTCGTCAACTTAATGTGTTGCTTAAAATAATACTTCTGCATACAGTATGTGACACTGTGAGTGTTGCGCGGCCAGATACGGCTCAAGAAGCTGACTCAGATAAGGAAATATATGATACATTATGATGTGATATCATGTGATATGAATGATAATGGGACACATCGACGTCTGCACTCACAGTGCCGCGGACTGTAGGCTACGTAATGTTACTTTGATCCGGTTACTTATGTTGTGGCAGATATTTAATTAAGCTTTCTTAATATAATAGTATAATAATAGTATAATAGTTATAGGCTAATAGTCAGATTGCTCTGAAGATGGGAGGTGATATTCTATTCATTTTCACGTTCACACAGTCGGTGATTTTGACCGGCCGTCTTTCCTGCAATTTCCTTTCTCCTGTCATATGAATTGATCGCTTTAAACTCCGCACACTGAGCTCTGATTGGTCAGCAGGCAGTGCTTTTATCCTGGAACCTATCCTGCTCCGGAGGCTAGCCGTTCAGAATAAGTTATCTAGCCCGCTAAGAAGTGAACCAGCGTCGTAGGACCGGAAATCCCTGAAGTTAGCTTGCTAAACGAAAATCCTGATTCGTAGTAGGCCTATAGGCCCCAGGTCTTTACAGGCTGGCTGTGGATGAAGCTTGGTGTTTGTTAAAACTGTTTTCCATCTTTGTTCATTACATTCTGAGGCTGTGGTGGTCTTTAGTTTCTGCTTCAGTGTGTTTTTTAAAGAGGCGTTGGTCCTTCATCCATCTCAGTTTTGTCCTCATTATTTATCTGCTGTAGTTAACGGTGGCTGTTTTAAACAAATGGTTGTTAATTTGCTGTAATTACAACTTTGATGCTGACATGAGCAGCATTCATGAGTCAGAAACAGGTAATTACAGTGGTTCTGATGTGTCATGAAGGCGGCGTGATATTGTTTTGAAAGCTTACTCATACATTCATAATGGTAGCACCTTCTGCTAATTGGCAAACAATTTAATCCTCACTTATCTCGCTCCCATTGTTTATTCATCCGTAAATACAGTGTTCTCTGGTTGCATTTATCCTTGTGATAATAATGTTTAACATACAGTAGTTTATTCGCAGTGTGCGCAGGTTTGCATGCTGATCATATTGAAGTGTAGACGGCTGCTGGTACACAAACAGCTGACGGGCAGCTCAGAAGTGTTTGTTTTGTCTCCCTTGGCAAAGCAGAGAGAATGCAGGAATACAGGATTTTTGCTTTGTTCATCCCCTGACTTCACTCTGTTTTTTCTTTTTTGTTTGTTCTGTGACCTCAGCAGGTTTGTTTTCTTGGGGAAGTTCATGGTTCAGCGATCCCTCGAGCAAAAACTCTACACCAGCCAGTGAAGAATCGCCCACTCGTCTGGCATCTACTTTGGACGCCTCCAGTAACTCTCAGACTACAGAGAGCAAAAAGAGAGGGGAGACTTCAGAGATGCTCACGTCCACCGCCTCCAGCTCTGCACCCAGAATCAACTCATCCAGCGGGGAAACCTGGCTCCGCGTTGAATCAGCGACCACAACCCAGCCGGGTGACAAGAGGGAGGAGACGGTGACCTCCAGAGGCAGCGGCAGAGGAGGCAGAGGAAGGGGGAAGAAGAACAGAGGGGAGGACAGGAGCAGAGGAGAGGAGAAGGGGAAAGGAGAAGAAGAAGGGAGTGGAGAGATCAGTGGCGTAGAAGCAAAAGGGGAGATACAAGTTTCACGCCGACCAGCGGATTCAGGCAAACCAAGAGAAAGATCCAGAGAAAGATCTAGAGAGAGGGGCCACAGGAAGGGACAGTCCACTACCACAGCAACTCCCACCACTACTGCTGGTCCTGAAACTGTTGATTTATCTACATCTTTATCCCCGTCCACCTCTCCATCAAGCTCAACAGATACAAGCCCATCATCATCACCCTCCTCCTCCCCATCCCCAACTTCCTCACCTCCAGCCAATTCCCAAACCCCATTCCTTTCCACCTCACCTTCATCCCCTCGTTCCGATTCCCCGTTTCAAACTGCCGGATCAGGAGACCCCGCTCCATCCACTCACTCAGACAGCCAGGACAGCTCTACGGTGGAGAAAGCCGTTGTGAACAGCTCTCTGGATTATCCTACATTACTGTCAGGACCCCACGACATGGAGGAGCCCGCCTGGTCTCACACTGTGGGGTCAGGGGCCCTGTTACCTGGCAACATGGAGGAGGAAAGTAACAGAGGCGGAGTCAACATCAGCAACATGACCCTCAGCCCCTCAGGTTAGTATTGTCTCTCTGTCCTCAGGTGATTTGGCATCCTATGGTGCGTCCATGAATCTGTATATTCATTGTAAATATTTGAAGCACATTTTTGATTTGATAACTTGGCTAACGTCTTATTTTTGTTGTTTTGACCATCTTTATATTGAGAATATTAACAATATGTGGACCCCACTGCTTTACTGTTAGGCCTGGAATTGCAGCTAAGCTAGCAGGCTGTTCTTATTCAATGATCGTCATTTTACCACCGAAAAGTAATACACTTTTATTTATATAAAACCCATGTAATCAATTGGTATGTAGTCCATGTAATTGTTACCAAGGACGTTGAGAGGTGCCTTTAAGGAATTCAGGTGAAGTAGAATGATAAGCATCGACACCTGCATACTGAGGAGTGCAAAATGGATCGACTGCTCAAAAAACACAGGACTCTTCCCAAGTGGGACGTTGTTTGTGGTCCAAGTCTAATGTGTACTTATTTGTTGTGTTATGATTCTGCACTCATTTAGATAAATGTGGTAGTTTTTCGTACCACCACAAACCTTTGTATAAGGATGCATTGAAGCTAGCTGTTGATGGTCAAAGTAACTCCAAATTAGAGGTTGACTGCTTCTTGAAGGGAACATTTGCCATTTTGGTTTGTTAGTAAAAAATGTTTTGCAGAGAATAAGATCACAGGATGGACCCCTGTCTTGTCTAACCATTAGATTTCAAAGCTAGTGCTAGTAGCTGGTTAGCTTAGCTGAGCACAAACACTGGAAATAGGGGGACACAGAATTAACTAATTGTATCTCAGAGCTGAGGCTCCCAGAAGTAACCACAGGTACAGTGGTGTAGCAATAACTTCTGCTGTTGAGTAATTCAACAGTCTTGATGTTTGATCGCCGGACTGTTTGTGTTCCTTCCTTGGACTCACTTGGTTGCAGATGAAATACATTGAAATGTACATCGTTATCATAAATGATAGGAATGAAGGCTGATGAAAATAAGACCCAAGTTGTAAATAAATATAAGTATCCTTTAAAATCGCATTTCATTTCCTCCCTGGACCTTGCCAATGGCATATTTATTCAAAATATCTCATTGTGTATTCCCTCGGCTGCACAGCTTTTATTTTCCAATGAAGGCAGAGACCATCTCCCTGCCACCGTTCACAATCTGTTGATTAAGTCTGCAGCTCAGTATATCTGAGTGAAGCTCCTGGCTGGCCACCTGGTTTACTTATTTTTCGCTTGATAATGAGAGCTCATACAGGGAACATCCTATCAGCCAGTGTTTGAAAGCCCTGAAGGCATCATGCTATCGCACATTCCTATGCTGATTTATTTTGCTCCCCCCTTTAAAAGCAGCTCATTTCTGCGGTATGAAAAAACAGCTGTAAACTGTATCGACAAGAAGCCGAGGGTAGCCATCTGCGCTCCTGGGGTACAGTATGAGGGCTGATTGATTGACTGACACCCTGGAGTCATGCAGGCAGAAGGCCATAAACACACAAACACACAGCTACATCTTTGCTACACAAACACAATAAGTGGATGGATGCGCTGGCAGGAGATTGGACCAGAGTAATGGCTTACATCTCCCTCGCTCTTTTTTTGCACACACTCGGCTTCAGTTCAGTCCCTTGTGGGATTCATGGTTCTTGTCAGTGTTTTCTCTCCTGACTGGATCAGGGAGCATTTCATCAGTCAGTTCAATCAATGCGAGAGGAGTGGAAACAAAAGAATGGCCTCAGGTTAGATTCAAGGACCTTTAATAGCAAAGCAAATTGTTCTCAAACAAACAGATGCAGACACTGCACGAATACACACAATGCTTTCAACTTCTCTTCCCTTGTCAGACCATATAAAAGAGATTTCTATCACTCAATCTTCCTCTAACATTGAAATGGTAGACGGTTTCTTTGTTTCTGACCTCCTTTATGTGATCTCATTCTCTAACAGAAATGCCAACGCCACCTGTGAGGTGAAAGCGCTTTTCTGAAAATCATATTTCCAAAGTAAACTACATTTCCACCGTGTTCGTGGCTGTTATTACTCGAAGCAAAGGCAATGTGTGAAGTGTGGATTATTACTTTGAGGTATCTCAGCGTTTCCGCGTATTATCCCCTTCCTGTCCTATTTCTGTAAACGTATTAGTTGGATTTTGCTGTTGCCGGTTTATTGTTGTTGTTGGTGCCGGTGGTGTCGGCTGTGCAGAGCGAGAGACAGTCCACTCCGTCAGCTTCTTCCACGGACTATTGATTTTTCTGCACCACTAGCTTTAATGAACGGCCAATCGTACAAGGTTTATCTATCACAAATACTCAGACACATACACACACACACTCACACAGTAGTAAATCTGCTTGTCATAACAGTTGGTATTTGTCAAGGCGTGCCATGCCCTTGACTGAAGCAGAGGGTGCGAGTGCACTTCGGCCTGAACTGATGTACATTAAATGAAATGCATGGTTGGCTTTATCACCTGACCTCAGCAAAATTCAAACCACGAGCCGAGGATTAGCTCGCAAAACTTAACATAAATCTTTGGACGCTATTGAGAAATCTTTCTTGTGTGATTGAAAACCCTCAATCCTTTATTTTTGTATTTACATTCATTTCGTGCAACTAGCAGCCGGCATCACGGTGATTCAGACAATGTGAGCTTGAAATGTCTGCCTCTGGGTAGCTATTGGACAGGATCAGCCTGCAGGCTAATCAGAGACAGATTCTCGCTCAATGTACCGTGTAAACACAAACCCACAAACCTCCACACACACACACAATGTCAACCCCACACACCACCCCCTCCTAAGCAGTCCTCAGTGACGGAAAAACCTGACAGAACAAAGAGTCCCACAGCCAAGCTTTTTTTGCGGCCAGGATGAACGAGTGGTGGTTTTCAAAGACCTTAGGTTGCTATAATGAGCGGCTCAGGGGAGAAACACGTGGTAGTGTGTCAATTGATATGGAAATGTGTAATTGTGGAAGGAGACCACACACACGCACACGTTTAGGGGCTGAATAGCGGGGCCGAGGCACTCAGCGGGAGGTCTGCTCGTTTCTGTTGAGGATGGTTAAGGTCTGAAGTTCTCACGCTGCCCACTACGCTCGCTGGAGTGAGCCAAGGCCTCGCTTTCCATATGGTAACCATGACAACTGTGGCTGTGAGTGGATGGCAGGGTTGAGGCTCCTGATCTCTTTGAAAAGAGACAGAGTGTGAAATGGATATGCGTGTTTTAACTATAGCTGGTGGTGGCTGAGCTGCAATGAAGGAAAATTAGGGTGATTTTCTTTTTTGTGTCATGCCTATTTATCTATGGAGAGGTGAAGGATATTCACCAATAATAAATACAGCTTGGATTCACCTGTTTGTGTTTCTATTTACATAAAGAAAAAACGTTTTTCCTTAACAGGATCACTAATTAGCTCCATTTTTTACATCCCCCTACACCCCACATCCTTCTGTCTGTCTGTTGTAGACGAATCGGAGCCCTGCGTGACAAACCCATGTCTGCACGGAGGAAAGTGCCTTCCACAGGGAACGGGCTACAGCTGCTACTGCCCACAGGGATACACTGGGGAGAACTGTGAGATTGGTGAGTGATGCTTACACACACATCCCACTTAAGCACACATGCATGTATCCACACATTAGCATGATTAAGTCAGCCCTGCTTTAGTACATATTGACGTAAGGCGCTCCAACGGCCTATCGGCAGGTTAGAGGCCAAGATACACGTCATATTTAGGGAGGACGTTACGTTTTAACACGGGTGAAAGGTTCAAATCAAGCCATCAGAGTTGGGTGGCGATAATGGTCCCGCAAGGACTAACTCTTAGTAGATCCAAAGGTTTTGTTCTATCAACAAAAATTATTTACTTGCAGTCAATTACATTTTTGAGCTGAATTGATTTCTTGTTTCTGGGAATCCAGTCAAGGCCTCTGTTAGTTTTGTCATTGGCAGAAATACATCTTTTAATGGCGGAAATCCCAGATTCGGATCAGCAGCAAGAACAAATCAATTGTTCCTCACACAAGGGCCTTTATGTCCAAGAAACTTCATGGAAATCTATTAATAGAGTATGATTCGCTGCTGACAGAAGCAGAGAAACATAACCTCCTAGTATAAAGATGGCTGAGAGGTAGCTGCTATTTGTGATTACAGCTTCAGAGGTTACAGATTATATATATTATACCACAGGATGTCAGGGCCAAAGGGGTGCCATGTTGTACAAAACAGATTGTGACCTGCAGGAACGGCAAGACAAAAAGCGACTGACGGTATCTAGATTCAAAATCTCCAGGATTCATTCTTCTTCACCTACACACAATTTCCTCTTTCTCTCTCTGCCGATTCCCCTTTTGTTTCCCCTATCTGTTTGGCTGCAGCATGGTAAGGTCATGTTTGAATAGACCCTTTTCATTCAAGGGAGACATTTTGACTTGCCAAAGCAGGAAAAGCACAGGTGAAAGTGATAACTTTAAAGACGGCTGCAGTAGCGGTGTCTGTTTTGTTCATGCTGATAAGAAATGGTCTACTCAGACACTTAATGCAATGGAGCCTTTTTAATGTGAATTTATACAACCGTGCTTTCCTGCTTTGATATGCCAACATGCCTGGAAGAGGGTCTATTATGTTCTGCACACAGGTGTAACTCTATAATGCTGTAGTCGTTTCAAGGAAGCCAGATGTGATCCTGTGTCTTTAAAGAGGATAATAAACATCTGCAGACAACCAGCTGACACTAGGCTTATTGGATAAACTCCTATACGGCAGATGTAAGCAAAACATAAACAACACATGTTTACCAAGGTGTGTTGTGGATGAAATGGGAAAACTCCACCCATAGGCTGTCACTGTCATTTGAATCATTGGACCTGATGGGGCTATACACACCCATTACACACCCTCATGTTTTTTTATTTACTTTGTCTCAGGACTGTGCTTGCTTATTTCACAGAAAATATTGTTGAAGTTTTTAGTGCTTTTCCTACCAACACAATTCAAAACGTCTCCTATGAAAAAGGCCGTATAAAAAGTGACTCCTTTTTGCTCCTGTTTGGGTGATACAACTCACAACTTTAACATTTTTACTGGCACATTTACTTTGCTGAAAAATATTATGCAGTTCTGCCCAACTTTACCTTGAGCGGGGGTAGTCAATCAATTAATCAACATTTATTTATACAGCCCAATATCACAAATGATTGTCTTTACGGGGCTTTACAGTAGCAGATATAAATGAAAACATTTTTGCAAGGACTTTAAGTCACTGGTCTGGTATACAAATGCTCAGTAAGGTTCACAATTAAGAAATGAGTCAATACAAATTAGTAAATTCAAATGTTTTCACTGTTTATATAAAGAAAGTTACCCTTTTAATAGTTATGGTTGTAGACCATTTCAGGTAGTTGAAATCAAGGAGCAGTCCTGCTTTGAATAATATCATTGTATTGGGGTGAAGTAAAACTTTTGTTCAGGTATTTAAGACATGATGTAGTCAATGATTGTAGATTTAATCCCTTGTGACCTACCTTCAACTTTAAAACCCAACTGTATACCTAATTCAGGGACACTCTAGTTCCCCAAAGCAGGCACCTGCACAGAGGCACACTGATACTTTGACACGGAGGTTTAAATCTGCCTTAAGGGTCGTAATCTGTCAATAATGTATGTATAATCAGCTTGTTTTAGCAGCCATTCCTCATGGAAGGTATCACTTTATGAATAAGTTAACATCACACAGTCATGTAATCATTCTTATCTGGGTGTGAACACCTTCAAACTAACTGAGAGCCACTGTTCAGTGTCACAGAATGGACGGACAGACATCCAGCTGATGCGTGGGTATGCTGGAGGGCTCTGTTATGGATTTGCAGAATTTGCAGTATTATTTCTCTGAGGAGCAGCTTCCCCGCTGAATAATGGATGAGAGGGACGAGGGGATCAGATTTTTTATGTTGAACAACAAAGAGCTCGTATGATTTTAATAGAAAGAGTTGGTGGTGTGTGTTTACTTATGAACCAACACAGCGAGAGGTCATTCAAGGTCTTAATAAGCCCAGGTGCATTTCATATCAGTGTGACATTTAAAATGATAGGCTAAGTTTTGGTTTTATTTAAAGCATTTAACAAGTGGGAGGCCTGAGAAAAAAATGTTTAATATAATAAAACTTCTGTTTCAATTTGAGGAAACACTTTATAAAACACACTCATGTGTTATTTCCTGATTGATTTTCTCTTGACATTTGGAGTTTATTTTACAATTTAAATCAAGGCTGAGTTGCAACCACTAGGTTTCAATTCATCGTTATTTAAAACCTCCGTTCCTTGACTCAAGTTATCAGAGTTGTTTCATCCGTTTCATAACAGTTTCCCTATTGTTTGATAAATCCAAGATGTATTTCATACTCAGATATGGTTTCACTGTGTCATTCCTCATACTGCAAAAACATGTCATCAAATCTACACAGTGTGTCTTTACGTGATATCAATGAACCAAGCTGTCAAGAAGGGTTTCCTCAATAACAAAAGTGACGTTTGAAAAAACTCTCAGGATTCTTATTCTCTTCCATTTCTATTTTATCTTGCAGACAAACAATATTGTTTGATCGATCGCACAACTTTGAGCCTGTTGGAGTGAAAAAGCCTTAGCATAAATCTCTGGTTTCAGTTCCCATATCTGTCCTCCAAAAAAGCCTCAGCTGCCATTTTTATAAACAGATAGACAATGTGCTGTTAAGTTAGATTAAACCCTAACCATTTGGAAGAAGCAGCAAAACATTTTTTAACATACAGACACAAGAACACCTTGCAACATTCTTCATTGATAAACCATAATTTATTTCAGAAAATAATCCTTGCCATTGCAACCGTCTCTGAAGGTCTTATTTGAGTTGTACGGTCAGTTTGATCTTTCCGACACAATTAGCTGTTTATAGTTACTGCCCTTTTCAGTCTTTTCAGCTTTTGTTTAAGATTTGAGGAAATACTTTGAGGTGATTTTAAACGTATAAGGAGCTTTCTTTTTGCTCTCTACCTGTGAGTTTAATAGATTCAGTCCTGGGTATCCGTCGTACTGGGTTAAAAAAGAACTCACCGTGGTGAAAGGAGATTACATTCCTTCTATTTACAATGATAAAGTGATACTTTATTGATCCCTGTGGAGAAATGTCCCTTTTGCTCGCCTTTTATTCCACAGAGAGGTCAGAGAGCACAGTAGCACCGCAGCCCTGGAACTGGTCTGAAGTCTGTTGGTGCTTGAGGCTTCTCCAGTAGGTGGATGGCGGAAAAGAGGGGGCTTGAACCCAGATACTCTGGTCTGATTCACCCTCTCTGCTGTCTATCCCACCAGAAGTGTGTCTACACTTTAAATGCTTTGAGGAAAAACCATTGCAACGTGTTGTTCTTCCCAAATTCAGCCTTTGTTTAAAACAATTGACAAAATAAATAAGACATACATCAACCTTACGCTTTGCAAATGCATAAAGGATGTGAGCGGCTTTTAGAGTGTCTTTCTCTGTGAGAGAATGAGAGCAAACAAGGAATGTAAAACGGTTCTACTGATAAACATGTCTGTATTCTCATCACACACTGTTGGAATTACATTATGATACTGTACTCACCAGCATGAACACATTTCACTGTTCCAACCAGGACTAATTACCCGCTCATCTTGTGTCCGTATGTGAAGCAAACACCCACACAGTTCTCTTTCTTTATGAACAACATGTCTCCAGCTGAATACATTCTTTTAATCTGAATTCAAATTACCCGCTCTCTCTTTCTTCTTCTCTCCTCCTCACAGATGTCGATGACTGCCAGTCCGAGCCCTGTGAAAATGGAGGCACTTGCATTGACAAGATTGATTCGTTCCTCTGCCTTTGCCTGCCCAGCTATGGAGGAGACACGTGTGAGAAAGGTGAGAATGAGAACACTGCATCAACACATTCAGTTGTTGTGTGCGAAACTGCAGTGGTGGACTTGTAAAACGTAGAGGTCGTTTGCCCAAAAAAGAGCCATAAAAGACAGAGACTTTTGAAAAAAATACATATTTTCTTGCAAATGAACCCTTTGTTCCTTGCAAACTGCTGGTGGAAATATTCTGCTCAGTAGGCAGTGCCTGTTACAGCTGTATGTCACAACACAACATCACAAAGATGCATTCCTCAGCTGCTGTCAGACACAGTGTCTCAGTGTGTGTCACAGGGCTGCAGACACTAACTGAGATTTCTGCAGGCAACACAATATACACTCTGGTTTCAGTAAGCATATATGCACATACAGTATATCCTTATACCCATGATAAAAGAAAAACAGTTCTGATATGTTTGTTCTGATAGTAATATTGTTTTGGGGTTAGTAATTCTTATTGTATGTAGTTTAATTAAAGGTGTTTTGCTGGCTTTTAATCTTCTTCCATGCTTTTGATGTGGACAATAACTGTTGATCTGCAGGATCCAGGCTCAAAATCACTATTAGTGGTCCAAACATGCACAGCCAGGCTAGCTGTAAGGCAGATATGATTCAAATCAAGGATGGAAAGCCAGAGGGACAAGCATGCAGGCTTCGTTCCTTAATTTAAAGCATGCAATGAACTTGCTGGGTGCACAACAAGTCTGATGAATGCAATCTTAAATCAAAGTAGGCAAATCAGGATTAGTGTGAGGTAATCAAAACAGGGCTGGGGCAGAAATCAGTCAACTAACACGAACTGGGCAGCCCATAATAAGCAAATAGATGCAATTTAGTCACAGGTGTGTCTGTGTGGTAGGTGGCACAAACCCACCAACCACACACTCATCCCAACAGTCAGTGATTCATCACCTCACTGGTTTTAACCACCTCTAGCCCTATATCTGTTTGTGTGCGTGCGTGCGTGCGTGCGTGCGTGCGTGCGCGCGCGCGTGCGTGTGCGTGTGCGTGTGCGTGTGTGTGTGTGGCGCACTAGTGGTAATGAGAATGAATGAGTATCTAACCTTTGCAGTTATAAATGAATCCACTGGCTTTGGTGTTATTAATGAATACTAATAGTGCAGAGAGAGGGCCACATGTGCTGTGAATTGAAAACGAGCCTGTGTAATTACAGTTCATGTATTTAGCCCTTCAAGATGCCACAGTCATATATTTTTGTCTTTATTTGCCAAATGGGAGGCAACGTTCTGTAAAAGAAAATCCTCTCTCAAACCATTTTGTGTTACTTCATTTTCCTGCACTTAACTACACTTAAATGCCCTTTTAAGAAATTATTTTAGCTCTCTCACTTCCACTCCTCTTTTCTCTTCATCTTTACAGACGTAGAAGGCTGCGAGCACGGTTGGAGGAAGTTCCACGGCCACTGCTACAGGTAAAAACTATGAAAAACTGGCAAATATATGAACCTGAACACAGTGCTGCCTCATCTGTCTACATTATACCCTGGAGGTATCCCTGATATACTTACCACGGAGCTCTGAGCCATTTAAACTTGTCTTGCTGCGTAATGTATGAAATATGTATTTTCATAACCACTTTCACCACATTTTCCCAAAGGTACTTCACTCACAGACACACCTGGGAGGATGCAGAGAAAGACTGCAGAGAGCACAGTGCTCACCTCAGCAGCGTCATCTCAGCCACTGAGCAGGAGTTCATCAACGGTTGGTGTTTTTCTGTCATAAACAACCTACACCCTAGTACAAATACTCACAAAACCAAACCCACCAAAATAAATTCAATTCATGTTTTTGGTTTCAACTAAATGGTTGTATATTCTAGAAGAAAATACACTTAAAATGATATACAATAAGGGTATAGCATAAATATCATTAAGCAAAGACAAAGAACGTAACAGGATAAACAATAAAATACTTTTTTACTGCAAGATTCATTGCGAGTATTAACACGTTAACATTAACAGCCCTGGTTTAAACATATTTGAGAACAGTATGTTTCTTAGTTTGTGTGTATATCAACGTTTTTACAATAGTAGTTAAGTTAAGGAACATGTTTTTTTGTGTTTTTCACAGGTCTGGGACACGACAACGCCTGGATCGGTCTGAACGATCGCACAGTGGAGGAAGACTTTCAGTGGACTGACAGCAACGATCTGGTCAGTGATCAGTTCTGAACTGTGCTCTCGTGAAAACCTCAAACTCCAGTTTTAAGGGCCACTAATATATGTTGTTGGGAACAACCTCAGTTATTATTGAATCAAAGTTGAACACCCCTCAGATTTTTATTACAGAATCTTTCAAACATCAGCAGACAGACTTAGGATTCCAATGGTGCTAAATGCTAAGCTAGGCAGACGTTGTCCAAGTGAGAAGAGCACAGAGAGAGACACAAATAAGGAAATCCCTTAATAAATTACCAAACTTTATTAAGAGTCCCGCATCACTTACAAACTCCTCCTACTCACCTACAAATCCCTCCATGCCCTCTCCCCTCAGTACCTCACAGATCTCCTCCACCCATACATCCCGTCCCGCACCCTTCGATCCTCAGACTCCGGCCTGCTCTCCATTCCACCTTCACGCCTCCGCACCTTCGGGGACCGTGCCTTCAGTGTCGCTGCCCCCACCCTCTGGAACTCCCTCCCTGCAGAAATCCGCAACGCCCCTTCTCTCAACATCTTCACATCAACCCTTAAAACTCATCTGTTCAACATTGCCTTCCAACAATAACTCACTCTCCCCCCCACTTACACTTCCATTTCTATGTTTTATGTTTTATGTCTTGTCCTTGTATGTTTCTTTGTAAAGCGACCTTGAGGTTATGAAAGGCGCTATATAAATTCAAGTTATTATTATTATTATTATTATTATTATTAAGAGAAAATAAAAAAAGAATGCCTGAACTTTCATGCTTTCACTGCTCACATAGCAACTTCTGCTGAATCCTGTTGTTTTTCAGGTATATGAGAACTGGAGGGAGAGCCAGCCAGATAACTTCTTCGCAGGTGGGGAGGACTGCGTGGTGACCATTGCCCACGAGGACGGCAAGTGGAACGATGTGCCCTGCAACTACAACCTGCCCTACATCTGCAAGAAAGGCACAGGTACTGTTATGCTGCTGGACTCACTGTAGCAGGACCCAAACGGTCCAGTGTGACTTTCCCAGCAAATCAAAGCTAAATCAATTCATTTGGAGAGATTTTGTTGCCGTCCTCATAGAATGTGGTTGCTTATATTATATGTTATCACTGACCAGATGGCGGCTGTTAGTCATCACTGCTCATGCTCATCATCATTTATTGTGCTCTCTATACAGAAACCATTCAGCTGTTGGTCAGACTTCAGTAGCCGTTTCGCATCACTTCCACTTTTTCTCCATTAAAGGTCACAGCGGCAGATGCTCGATTTAAAAAAAAATCTAAACACAAACTTAAGTGAAGATTGTGAATCAGCGTCCAACCTGTATTGATTTTCGAGAGCAATATCAATCTCAATCTTCCTCTTATTGCCGTTCCTCCTCAGGGCTCACTTACAGTTGTCCAGACAGCAGAACCGTTAGTTGCAGTTATTGTCAATTACTCTCTTGTTCACAAATATGATCTGAAATTCCTCTGAGCCAGCTTTGCCAGGTTTTCCTAATACTCTCCCACAACTTCCCTCTGTGGACAGACTGGGAGCCGACCTGAATGTGAATGCAGCGGAACTTGTAGGATGCAAAGAAAGCTTTAGACTGGGACATAATGGGCAAACGGAGGATGCTCAAGAGGAGTTAGAAAAGGTTGGATAAAGATGGAGTAGGACGTTGAGAAAAGGATGAAGTAGTTTAGGAGTGTTTGTTTGTCTGGCTGCGGTCTCATGGCTCTGTGGTTTGGCTGCACTCCCTCTCTGCTGCAAAGACCCAAAACCTCCTTCTGGCATCAACATAGCTCAGCTCAGATACAGCAACAAGCTGCCACCTAGAGGCAATGCACACCTGCAATACTGAATATGGTACAAAGTACAGTTGTATTTCTATGGTCTGAGCACCATGAGATTGGGAGGACCCTATTCAAACTGTAAGAGTTGTTTATTTCATTTTTCTTTCAAATGAATCGCAACATTTCTAAAGTTGCTTCCAAACAGAATTCGACTTTGCAACAAAAAAAACGTATGGTCGAAATGCATATGAAATGTGGATGTTGCGCATAGCCCCTGCTGTATGTACTCTCTACATGTATGAAACATACAAAAAAGTCCATTGGAGGTATACTCTAAACCCAAGAGGAAGCTGGCGCCCCAGTTGTAGCTTTAATTTGCAGTGGGATTTGTACCTAATGCAGAAAAGTGGAGTAAATTAACACTATTATATACACATGTAGACTTCTGCCACCACAGTATATGTGTCAGTATACCAGTATATTGTTATGGATATATGCCAACCTTCATCTTGATGATTTATATGGTTTGATTTAATTATTTTTGGCAGTGTTGTGTGGGACCCCGCCCGCAGTGGAGAACGCCCATTTGATTGGTCGCAGGAGGTCACACTACGACATCCATGCAGTGGTTCGCTACCAGTGCTCCGAGGGCTTCTTCCAACGTCACATCCCCACCGCCCGCTGCCGGGCTGACGGGAGCTGGGAGAGACCCAGGATCATCTGCACAAAGTGTGAGTGTCCGTTTAAACCTTTATCATGTGTGTAAAGGCTTTTTTACTAACTGATAAGAGGTTATAGATTATCAGTATCCATTTTTTTTGTATCAATTGTTATCAATTTCTGACTCTTATGATAGCCTTTTACTGTCTTGTGGTGGTATGACACCTGTTTCGTGTTGGATTTCCTGGTTTAATTTAGAACTGCATTTTTTATGCTCATATTCAGAACAACTTACAATACAGGTGGGGCAGCAGATAAATATGATACATTTAATCACAAAAAACACATACAGTATAATGCATCCTTATCAAAAATATTTTTGTTATGTGTCTATGTAAAATAAACTGTTATTTTCCAATTCAATTTTATTGGATTTTTTTACTCGAGTTCCATATCAGCTCAAGTCTCAAGTCCTGTATTAGTCAAGCTTTGGTACAAACTATTGGTTACTTCAAATATTTCCTAAAGGAACAGGATTAATATGTTAAGGAGAGGTAAAAAGAAAGAAAGAATAAAATTACAGTTGTGTATCGACCACAATAAACTTGCACCCTAAAGCCTTTTTGCTCCCTCTTTCAGCCCGGCGGTCACACCGGTACAGACGCCACCATCACAGTCAGCACAACGAGCGCCGCAGCCACAGGAGACACGGAGGAGACGGACACAAGGCCAGAGAGGACGCACACAGCCACTACTGAACCAAATAATACAGCGTCTGCAAAGCCCATGTGCTAACCACGGCCCATAAAGAAAGACAGTAGCTCACCCCCATTTCCTTTCCTGCTTCTAACCATGCTCCGTTTGGTTTTATTCCTCCTTAACAATTAGGTTTTCTTACTCTAACATACTGTACAGTTTATCTCCATAACCACTCTCCCGGTGTTTTGATGCTTCTTTATGTTTTCACCCTGCTTCCTTTAACTGAGGTCCATGCGAACACTAGCTATGACACTAACTCCCTCCCTAACATCAGAGTAAAGTTAATCCTCTTCCTGTCTACGAACTAAAACCCGCTCAGTCTGTCTGACTGACAGCAGTGTGTGAGCGCATGTGAGAAACTTAGAAAAGTGCTGAGTCACTTTTTGCAAAGGTTTGCTTGTTCTACATGAAAACTATTCTCATACTAGTATTCTGTTTACAAAGCACAGATGTAATTGATGCATTTAGTCCCTGGAGACCCTGAGCTTTTTGTATGTGTACTGTAGCTGTTACTTTTTCCATAGAGCAACTGAGAGCTGACCTGTTTTTATTCTACTGACATGCTTTTTCTAATCTTTGCTATGTTTTTGTGTTATGTTACTATTTATTATAAATCGTTTGCTAGTGAGTATGCTTTCATTGTTTACTTATACTTCAAAGAGCCGACTTAACATCATTTTCTATACCAGTATATAAGTCCAACAATCAACAATAAACTAAATTAATCATTTGATTGCCTCTAAGCTAATCTCTGTATTGTAAATATTGTGGTGTTTGTTTTTGGCTGATCCCTGATCAATAGTTGGACCCTGTCTAATGAAATAGATCCCCCCATCCCTATAAGCACTCTCAACTAATGTCTAAAATGTCCCGATGACATAGTGTTGACGGGATTATACTTTAGGAGATAACCACTTGATTGTATCTGAATTGCTAAATACTTTCAATATTTGCACGGCTATTTTTACTTTGATGAGTAGAATGTCACCATTTTTTGTCTTTGGTCCCTTTGATATTTGATCGGTCATTCACTTTTTTGGTGTTCTTGTGACTTTTTGTCCTGCTGTTGTATTCCATTCTTAATAAAGTAAAAAAATGAACAATAGCATTTCTGCATTTTTTTATTCAAGCTCACAAACAGCTGGTTCTCAGCTTCTTCTTCATGCATATTTTAATAGGCCATGATAGCGCTACAACACTTTGAAATATCTTAACAATGCACCACTGGATGGATAACATTTTGTAGACAGTCACAGGGGATCAATCCAATTTATTTATGTATTGATCATTTTAGCACACACCACAAGGACATCTATCAGATCAAAACTTTCATTTGTCTAACGCATTGGTTTTATATACTTTCAAAACTGACAACATTCCCATGGGCCTCAGCTAGCTTACTTTTAGTGCTAATAAGCAAATGTTGGCAACCTTACAAACTGAACTAATACACTTACCCTTACATGGTAAACATAAACACCAGCATGTTAGCATCCTAACCACAGAATACAGTATAAGAAGTCGACACATTTACTATAACGTCACCCGTGGTTTGTGGACTACGATTTTAAAGCCTTGAGTTTGGCATCCTGGCCGTAGCCATTTCGTTTTTTGGACTGAATGCTGACATTTTGAGGCAACCAATACTTTGAAATTAACTCTCATGAACATGAACAACAGAGTGGTAGCGACAAGTCAATCAAAAGGATGGAATGCCCTAAAACATACCCTGATTTGTCACCATTTTTTCTCCAATTGGGATCAAATTTACAGAATGAACATAATACTATTGAGAAGGACTTCATACTAGTGATTAAAACAAAAAGCTTATCAAGAAAATATTTACTAAGGCAATAAATCCAACTAGAAGTTTATTTTGTAATGTTCTTATAGACTTCTATGCTGCCTGCTAGATGTTTGATAGCCCTTCTGCATTGGCTTCATGTTTCAGACCCTAAGGTTTAATTTAAATGCTGACATTATCATTTAGCTCAACGCACCACTGTACCTAAGAACCCTCACACAGAGCCGTAGACTCGGGTTTGTTTTACTGGAGAGTTATCCTATAATACATTACTTGTAGACAGGAAAGGGCAGTTATGCTCAGATTGTTTCTTTTGTGTCACCTTGCTACCCCAGCAGAGGAAACTCAATCAAATCCCTTTATTTTGGGCTTTATCTTTCTGAGCTTTGCTGCACACTTCATATTGCACTCTGCACAGCGAGCAATAGTTTTATCCTGTTTGGTTCAAAGGCAATTTTCTCATCTCTGTTGTGTGTATGTGAGCAGCATATTTTAAGAGAGAAAGACGGCCCACCAGGTGAGTGGCCCATAAAAGACAAAAAGATAGAATGGAGCAACAGAAACCTTGCTGTCAAATTATCTATTACATTTTCTTTTGGTGAATTTGATTTTAATATGATATAAAAATGAAAACAGAAATATATTTATGGTTCCTCTCTCTTTATGGTTGTTTACTTCTGTCTAAAATTGATCCATTTAACGGCCATGGATAGCCAGGATTTTATTAATGATACATCATTTATGTAAATCCTAACTTTGTAATTGGCCTAAATGTCAAATTCCGCAACCAAAAACCTCAGTATCCTCCTTCAAAATAAAAAAGGACAAGACTTGGATCCACCATGTGAAAATGTCACTTTGGCACCCAAAACACAAAACGTTTGGGCCACTAACAGCTGACCTCAGTGTCATGTGACAATTTGTACTGTCATGTTGTCGCTCAGCCAAACTCAGGGTTCACCTCTTATCAGTTTCACAGCAAAGTTAACTGGGCCAGCGGTTCACTGCACTTTGGGTACAATGACAGCACCGACCGGAGGCAATATTGACAGCTAAAGAGATAACCTATCAAACTGCTCGGGTGCTGAATGAAGGCAGAACTTTAGATATACGATCTAGATTACATATATGTATATTTTTTTCAAAGGTAGACATCAGGTAAAACACACATATAATGTAAATCCCTGGTGCAAATAACTTGTATCCGAGTTTTCATTAAAAACTCTATTTGTTTTTATTGAAAATAAAGTTAAACATAAAGCATGAAAAACCACTCTGAGATGCAACTGGAGACTGAAATCGCTTAATCAATTAGTACAGCACTAATTTGGTAATCATTTAATAATTTAAAATCTGTTGGGATGAAAAAACAAAACAATGTAAAAGATGTCACCTTGGACTGTTGTTAATTGTGATAGACATGTTTCATTATTTTCCAGACTAAATAATTGAACATTTCATTACAAAGTTATGTTAGTTGCCTCCCATGTGACATCATGTATGGATCGATTATTTTGACACTATATCAAGTATTTTTATAAAGGAGTGAAATTCCCCACTTGAATAACTCTTTCAACCCACTTCAGCAACTCTTAAGTTATTGAGCCTTTTAGGAATTCAGTGAATCTTCCCATCATATTCAGTTTTTAAACACAGAAAACTGTGATAGTTTTCCCTGACTGAATATTGGATCAGTAAAAAACAAAAAATTCAAGCTGTGGAGTTGTAGTGTGGTTATCTTCATAAAAGGATGCACCATGGTGACGGCTGCTCTCCAGTAGTGTGTTGCCAACTGTCTGATCCAGGCTAATAGTCTCAGTTTGGGAAGATACCAACTGGGTGTCTGCATGAGTTACCTGAAAGCTGTCCTCATCAGCAGCCTTCTTATCAGGGTCCAATAGTCCGTGAGGGGAGTGCTGCTGCTGCCGCTGTGCTAGGTATTTGAATGGTTGACTCAGAGAGAAACGTTTTTAGATCTCCTCTGGGTTTCAGGTTGAAAAATGGTGTGTTTAATGCAGTTTGCGTGCCAAAGAGAGTCCCCTGAAAACATTAGCCTTGTCACAGCATGAAGTATTTCTCTACAGTCCGTGGCTGGTGTGTGGTCTAGTTTTTCTTCTTCTCCTTGTTGGTCTGTCCCTCAGGAACAGGTTTCATGAAATAAACGGGGTTGGTGTGGCAGCGCAGGGCCAGCAGAGCCGGCAAAGCAGCCAGCAGCACATTGAGGGTGATAACAGGCCACCATTTGTCTGCTGGGACTCGGTACGTGTAGGGAGTGCGGGAGTGCTGAGATGCTCCGATATGGCACCACTGGCTCTGGGGGTACAGCAGGGGGAAGTCAGCATTTATGCTGTATTTGCATGGAATATTAATAGCAGCAAAAACCATAACTGCAGTTACCTGAGCCATGGCCCCAGCAAAGAAGATCGTCCAGTCCAACATCCAGCTGCATCCAGGTGTTCTCAGACCATAGGAGAAGAAAGCCATCAGGGGCATCGCATAGAACAAATACACCAACATCTGCACAAAAAGACAAATCATTATAAACAAGAAGATACAGTGTATTAAGATTCTGATTTAATTTTCTCCACACTCACCATAACCCTGGGGAAGACCACTGGGTCTTTGAGGTAGGGCTCGTACTGGTAGATGTAGGTGAAACAGGTGTCGAGAGGACAGTCCAGCACCACCTGCAGCAGAGCAGGAGGAGCGGGTTATAGCATCCATACTGCACCATCATGACTCAGTGAGTTCATTCAGAAGCAGTAATGCAGGACAGATACAAAAGCCCACATGTAGTTTTACTCACAAAGCCTCTGAAAACAGAGAAGGCCATCGCTCCGAGCAACATAAGAGACAGAAGCAGGTCAACGGGCCGAAAGAGCAAACCTTTCTTCTGCTCTGCTGAAATCTAGTCAACACAGGGAAATAGGTAACAGTACTGTACATCCACATACTTAAATTACTACATAACAGTCATTATAAAGCAAGATTATTATATGCAGATTTGCATAGGCTGCATATATATATATATGTTTTTTCTGTGATTATTGATGATTATTCAATAAACAGTTAGGTTTACTAGTGAATGAATAACTTGCATTTACAAAACAAAAACAGCATTAGTTAAGTTAGTTGATCCTCTGTGCCATAGGTTTCCAACCTTGGGGTAAAGACCCAGACAATCGCATTTGTCAGGGTGATGAAATAATAAACAAACTGTTATTGAAATTACAAACTGTTGTTTAATCTTGCATTTTTCTTACTGTAAATATGAATTTTGTACATTACAGCTCAAATGAAACAAACAATTGTTGGACACCACTACTCTACAGATACACAGATTGTTGTAAATCTGTTGGGACTTACCTTGTCTGCAGTGACGACCGGCATCTCTCTGGGTCTGCTAAAGAGAACAGAGGCCGCCCAGAAAGGGGCCAAAAAGAAGGGGACATTCCTCCAAAAACCTGGTCGAATGTTAGACCCGTATTTACCTGCATAAATAGGAACATCACTTATAGTAAACAAACACAAACAAGACAGAGGATGTGCTAAATCAAATGTGGCATATCTCACCAATCACCACTCCTGGGATGTGAACAATTTGATTGGCAATTGAGGAGCCCGCCCACAGCAGCCCCAGGCTACGATAGGACTTCCTGCATGGACAAATAAACAACAGGCGTTCTTAGAGGACTCACTGAACACAGAGCAGACAGTTTTTGATCTGCTGACAGCTTACCCTCTGAACATGCGGTGGATGATAGTGAGGAAGAGGATAAAGTGGACGATGCCGTCCCAGTATGACATCATCACAGCATAGGCGGTGCTTAGATGGGGCTCACCCTGAAGAGACAGATCATAAGGAATTTTAGCTTTTGACATGTAAAGAAAATACAAAGCATTATAAAGAAGTAGACAAAGGAAGGGAAATGGTTAGCTCTCACCTTCTTTAGGTAGAAGCCCATGAAGCCAGAGATGAAGCCATCCTGCTCTAAAGCATTAGTTAGACCCACCATGCAGGTGAAGGAAAACTCTGCAAATACTGAACACAAAGAGCCACAATGAACAAAACGACCCCTTCATTTTACTAATATGTTGAAGTGTTTGTGTGTGTGTCTGGTTCTAGGCTTACCATAGAATAAGGGGTCTACTTTCATCTGGTTTGACACAGTGAGGCGGAGGAGAAGGAGTACAAATCCCAGGATGAACATTCCCAATCCCAGGATCGGAAGAGGCCTGAGGAATAATGAGAGATTATAAATCAATTTGCCAATTGTGAAATTATCATACTACGTTTCCTC